AAGGCATAGCCTATATACTAGCACCTCACTATCATGGCAAAATATAACTTTATGGTTTTTAAGGTATTTGTTTGAAAAAAGTAGCCTAAATACTGTAATTATATTCCATTAGTAATTTAAAACATTGTCTACATTAATATAGTACAATTTAATATGTACACTACCGGTCAAAAGTTTTAGATAGGTACGATTTTTTTTATGTTTTTAAAAGAAGTCTCTTCTGCTCACCAAGGCTGCAATTATTTGATCAAAAAAAAAAAAAAAAAAACAGTAATATTGTGAAATATTATTACAATTTAAAACAGCGGTTGTCTATGTGAATATAAAGTGAAGTGTAATTTATTCCTGTGATCAAAGCTGAATTTACAGCATCATTACTCCAGTCTTCAGTGTTGCATGATCCTACAGAAATTATTATAATTTGATGCTTAAGAAACATTTATGAGTATTATCCATGTTAAAAACAGTTTTATATTTATGTAAGTTTGCTGCCTGCCCTTATGCCTGTTTCAGATTATGAGTTGCTGTCTCTATGTTGTGTTTGCTGGATAATGACCCTGATATTACGACAATTACATTAAAGATTACATTACATTAAATATGTTATCAAAACCGTGATAATATTGATAATCACGATCATTTTGGTCACTATAATCATGATATGAAATTTTCCCTAATCTTGACTATTAAAAGAGGATGACAAATCTAACCTTTGATGCATCAAAATATAGTATTTGATAAGCAGACCTCACTTGTTTTCAGTTATTAAATCAGGGTTTGCTTGAATTCACATGTCATGTTGAAATCATTCAAACAACTTAGGCTGCATTTACACTGCAGGTCTTGATGCCCATATCCGATTTTTTTGACGACCTGCTTACATCTTTTAAAAGTGACCCATATCCGATTTTTGCATTTACACCAGTGATGCGCGGGTCAATGTATAAACAACCCGCAACCGACCGACCTTTTTAAAGTACTAAATGCTCATCGGAGCGTTATTGGGCCATATGACGTGTAGTCTCAGCCTCAGACGTCACGCCCGGAACGTTGGCTAAACGTCTGATGCATATGGTACACTTAACTGGAAACACTTCAGGAATGTCGAAGTCGTCATCTGATTGGTTGAATTTTATCGGATTTCCGGGGGGCGTCAGTGTCGCGTTTATTTTCGGTCCGCCGGAAAACAAAGCGCAGATGTGTGATTGCGGAAGAAAAACTGTTGTGTTTATATGAGTGGCCTATGTGAGTGACAATGAGCATTTCTCAAGATCAGCTAAACGTAGTTGTATGTCCCCTCCAATCTATTATGGAAGATCAAGTGAAGTACTTAATTGCGAAGGGTATATCAGCTGCGTTTGTGGACAAACATGAAACAGACGCTGACATCGCAGCTGGCCGATTCAGTATTCATATATAGGTCGCGCACACTGGATTATAAGGCACATAAGATACTGCAGAGTCAAACGTTTGACTGGGTTTGCGTTATGCATCCACTAGATGTGCTAAAGGGAATGTAGCGAGTGCGCGGCGCCGGAGGTGAGGCGTTTATTTAGTAGGCTTGAGCGCACTGGGGCGGGGACGTAACTTACATTCGTGTGACAAAGCGGACATAAGATGGACATGAGCGAGTTCGTGGGTGAATTTAATAACACGGAGCGTTGTTAGCGCCTCCGGTGACTGCTGACTGACTTGTTGCACACCGGTCTGTTGTTGTGGGGACATTTCCACGCCCCGAAACATGACGCTGAACGAAACGAACTGTAATTGGTTGTTTGACATGTCGGTCTAACGGCCTTATGGGCGGGCCTTGACCAAAGAAAGCTGCTATGAATTCCAGACGTTCAGCCGTCAGTCTGAAGGTCTGGCTACGCGAGACTATATGACGTGTAACAACACAGCATCGCAAGAAGACGTATAGGCCTACACATAACAAAGGCAAAGCCAGCACTTTGGTCATCATCTTTCATTATTTCAGCAAATGTCTCCCACACTTTTACTCTTTCTATTTGTGTATTTGCGGAGCTTCCACTCCCCAGTCTTCACTTTTTCTCTTGCCGCCTCCATCTCTCTGCAGACTGTAGTGATCATCGTAGACATGGCCGGTTCGTGAACGAATCGTTCTTTTGAACCGGTTCTTTTTAGTGAACCGGTCGAACCAGAGTAAACTCGAACTGAATCGTTCGAAACAGTTCGCGTCTTGCGTCAGTGCTGATCCACAAGTTACTAAAGTTACTCACTTTCAGACATGCCTGACAGTCGCCTCCGAATCGAAATAAATCAATATCCTGAATTATATTTTACTCCAACAGTTCACTGAACCGAGACAAGTTGGGGCCACTGTTGAGAGAAGTGATCAGCACGACCCTACAAACAAGGGACGTCCCCCGGACTTTTCAAACGTCCCCTTAGGTCCGCATTAGGTCCGCTTTGTAACGTTCCCTAGCGGACGTTCGGAGGACGTCCGCACTTGGTCCCCTTTGTAACGTTCGCTGACGGACATTCCGATGACGTTCGCATTTGGTCCCCTTTGTAACGTTCGCGGACGGACATTCCGATGACGTTCGCATTTGGTCCCCTTTGTAACGTTCGCGGACGGACATTCCGATGACGTTCGCATTTGGTCCGCTTTGTAACGTTCGCTGGCGGACATTCCGATGACGTTCGCATTTGATCCATTCTATAACGTTCGCTGACGGACGTTCTGAGGACATTTGTCCGGGCCAGTTTGCGAACGTCCCTATTTCGTCCCTCACCTGGCATTTCCATGACAACACTTAACCAGTCGCCCATGTTTGCTATCAACTGAAACTTTACAACTCAGACAAACGAATAATTAAACTAAAATATAAATGCAAATATTTGCATTGATTGTAAAATTAAGTTAATGCTAAAATGTTAGTGTTTTAATGTTAAGATAATGTTCATGTTACTTCATGTAAATTCTAATCACTAATTAAAGATGTATACCACGAGTCTGTTTTCACCCGTTATAATTTAAACATCAAAAACATGACAATTGATTCAATTGAATATGAGCTATAATTTATAAAGGCTATTCACATGCACAGAGATTGAATCCCAGGAGCTCTAATGCATCGACTTCAAATGATGAATGCAGCCAAGGAAAACGTGAAGAATGGAAAAGTGGATAATAACACAGGTAAGACAAATAAAAGTATCCTAAACATTTACCTGTCAAACGTTGGTCAGGAGAAGGTGACTGGTTTTATTAAAAATAATTTATTTTAGGAAAAATATTGTTATAATTATTGTACTTAAGACTGATAGCACATACAGAACAAATAACAAAAAACAAAACAAAAAAAAACATTGGAGAAACAAGCGAGTGACGATCAAATCATAGAATCAAATGCGGCTAAGCGAGTGACGTCATTCCTTATGTACGCGGTTTGTATCACAGTCTATGGTTTGTATCCATGGCAACGCTCAGCTGGGTAGCGTAGTGACAGTTAACGGTCCTTCTCAGACGCAGCCTTGTGTTTCCTCTGTCCGTCGTCTGTCTAAAAGGTATTTTTAATTATATTATTATAAATTAGTCACCATAACCACTGTCCATCTTCAAATTATATGAAAATGTTACCTTTTAAAACGTTTGCTGAAGTTGTCCGCAATGTACCGCTGATAACCGTTATATGCTAATATGAGTAGCAGCTACGAAGCTAACAGCTGAAAATGAGACAACATTTCACATATTGATAAAATCATAATGGAATATGTTCATTTTTGTTGTTTTAGGTAACGTTAGACGCCGAAGGGGGAGAGCCATCGGATTAATCCCACAGCTGACCGACAAACACACACACACACAGCTGCCAGCGCATTTGAAGACACACACACACGGAAATGCCACCTTTACAATTGTTTTAAATAAATAATGTACTTTGTTCCTTACACCGCGTCTGTTTTCTTTGGTTAGCCAGAAGTAAAATAAAATAAAATGATATTCAGGGGACTAAACGCGAAAGTCCCATAAACGTCCCGGATGGCCGCTGGTGGTCCTGGGAACGTCCTCTTGAACGTCCGGAGGACGTCTTCGCGAATGTCCGCGGGACATCAAGCGGACTCCACATGGGGACGTTCGGGGGGACGTTCGCACAGGCCATTTAGGGGACGTTCTGGGGACCTTTTTTTGTTAGCTGGGGAGTGCGTATACCGAACGCACAGGGACAGCGGTTCTCGAATCACTAGCCTATAGAACCGAGAACTGTTTAGACTGAGCTTGTGTGTTATCTTCGTGCCAGTTATTCAGCCAATAATGTGTATGGCTGTATATTTCATCAAACTGTGTCTAGTACTATATACAAATGTTAATTGGCATCTTTTTTCAAACGACCCGACCGACCGCGACCCGAATATCATTAAAAACATTTTTGGATGACCCGTACCGGCGGGTGACCGCAGGCACCCGCTCATTTCGGATCAACCCGCGCATCACTGGTGTGTATCCTATCTTCCATCGCGCGGCTCGCGGCTATAATCGCGCAGTTTTTAATGACGCATGACGCGCATTTACTGGGGAATATCCGATTTGTCTGCTTACATGGCACTCGCGAATGCACGTATCTGATTCATATCCGATTTATTACCACATGAATGAGGCCTGAATCCGATCTGAGAAAATCAGAATCCATGCGTTTTTTTTCCTGCTTACACGTTCACCGGTCATATCCGATCTGTGCCACATGAGAGGAAAAAAATCGGATTTGGGTCACTTGAACCGAGGCCTTTATGTTTTAAAACGTTTCAGACCTGATGGAAGTGAAAGAGCGAAGACAAGAACTGAAGTGAAATTTCAAAGGTGATGTGCTGTAGTTTGTGTTGACAACAATTAAACCATTTAATGTGCCAATTTACAGAAGATCTCAGACCATAATGATCATCACCATAATGAAAGAGCTGAAAACACTGAACTTTTGGAGACAAAGAGGTTTTTCATCTGCTCAGTTTAACATGATTGCCCTGTACTTTTTAAACAGATTGGATAAAAACACAGTGATCACAGTTTACACCTGCAGTGAAGCCCCTCCCACAACAATTCACCAATAAATACTGGGAATATTCCCATCATCCTACAAGAGAAGGACAAACTCCAGGAGAAGCAGCTGAAATCTGTGTGACTGTTAAAGATGGAGTTTATTAAAGAGGAGACTGAAGACACGACTGATCCAGAACCATCCATAAAACATGAAGATACTGAGGAACAAACAGGTTGGTGTTCATTCTTGATTCTTCATTGTTGATGCTTTGATATGTGAATTTATAAGCAGAATATGGATGATAAATGATAGTTATGCATCCAAATGACAATAACCTTGTCTGTAGCAGTTGTCAAACATATTTGTACTATATTAACAAATGAATGACAGAACAAAAAGTAAAAGATCTGATCTCTGTTCTGCCCTACAAAAGCAAAAGACCATATCTCGCTAGAGTATAGAACTGAGAAAAATGACTTTAAAGAGTATCTTCAAGTGGTACAGAGAGGCTTAAGACTTGCTAAACACGCGTTCAAAACTATCACGATAAAACAGATCCTCGCGCACATTCGACCCGGAGACTGGTTTATAGCGGTGGATATGAAAGACGCACTTTCACAGGCGTTTGTTTACCGAGATTCGTGTTTGAACGTATCACCCTCAGTTCATGAAAAGTAGCCTACGCAGTGCTTTACCCCTTAGGACTCAGTAGGGAGGGGGCGTGTTCTGGACTACCTAGACAACTAATGCATTTATAGCACAACCTTCTGTGTTCTGTGTCTTTTCAGTGTGCGTTGGTGTGCACTTCGCTCGTCCCACGGATTTATTCCGGACGCTGTGTTTTGTGTGCATGCTTTTAACAGCTGTTCTGATGTTGTATGCACCAGCACTTCTTGCTTCATTATGTTGTGTATGCACCAGTATAAACTTGTTATACCTGTGATATATTAGTCCCGCGTCGGCTCGACCATGTTCAGGGCGAAGCTGAAGGCACCGGCAAAGTTTTGGCGCTCTGCCAGCTAGATGCATGATTGTTTCAACTAGGTCCGGTAGCCTGTTGACCTGTTAGGGCATGTTTAACATTTTTCTGTCAACTCTATATCTGCATATATCCTTTGCGATCGATATCGCACGTTTGTCGATGGAGTGGGTTAATACTAATAATAATAAATGTTCTGACCTCGTTAGTGCAGGGCAAAGCTCTGAGGACAGCAGAAGTTACAGGGATGGATGGTAGCTGTACAAAGTACACAGGCTATATCGTAACTTCAATTTTAATGGCGAGTAAAACTGTTTTTGAGGTTTAATTAAGGACTGTATATTACTGGAGTAGGTGGATTTGTATCCGCACTGGTGTGTCGGTAAGAACACATACGACTCAGAGTTTGCAGCAAAGTTTGTAGTTTACTCTTGATTCAAGTTGAATAGGAACAGTGAGTGGTAACAGTAAGTGGTCTGAAAATAATACAGAATAACAATAATATTAGAGATACAGCTAAATCAATAACATTCATCAAGGCAATAGAACTGGTAACATTATTGAAGTTATTGCAGTTCCTAGATAATCCACAAGGTGGCGCTCAAGGGACGCACATGGAATTAGTTGTTATGTAGGACGCCATTACAGTGTCATTTCGGGCAGTAACGTATATGAAACAGCACATAACACAATATTTACGCAAATATAGGCAAATAACCATATAAATCACCATCCAGATATCTTACACTATGAAAGTACTCATGCATTACTTAAACTTAAAGGATGAATTTTGGCGCTTAGGCGCTAACGCGAGCTGCCGCGATGGTGCGCAAACAAGCTCGTGATAACTCACTAAAGTACACAAATCTGCTTTAAACGCATATAGCATCATAAGATAAAAGGAAATAAACAACTTACATTTTGTCATTAACTCACTCACATAAAACCACTTCTGAAGGAACGATTGAGCTATTAGTCTTCTGCATCAGAGCATTCATATTTCGTTCGTCTCTTACTAGTCTCAGCCTCAGACGTCACGCCCGGAACGTTGGCTAAACGTCTGATGCATATGGTACACTTAACTGGAAACACTTCAGGAATGTCGAAGTCGTCATCTGATTGGTTGAATTTTATCGGATTTCCGGGGGGCGTCAGTGTCGCGTTTATTTTCGGTCCGCCGGGAAACAAAGCGCAGAAGTGTGATTGTGGAAGAAAAACTGTTGAGTTTATGAGTGACAATGAGCATTAATCAAGATCAGCTAAACGTAGTTGTATGTCCCCTCCTATCGATTATGGAAGATCAAGTGAAGTGCTTAATTGCGAAGGGGATATCAGCCGCGTTTGTGGGCAAACATGAAACAACAGACGCTGACATCGCAGCTGGCCGATTCAGTATTCATATATGCGCACACTGGATTATAAGGTGCATAAGATACTGCAGAGTCAAACGTTTGACTGCGAGTATTCAATGTGCGGCGGCTCGCTGACTGCTAACGTTACAGCTGGCTGTTTTGAATGAGACGAGCCGGTTACTGTGAACGGGGAGCGCTTTATGAACATAACTGTGACGCACAAGCAGCGCCGGGTATACAGTGTGTCTGAGTGAGCGCTCGTGAGCACGTGATTTACACACATAACCTGATTTATACGAGGTTGAACTGGCCGTGTGACAAAGCGGGCATAAGATGGACATGAGCGCGAGTTTGTGGGTGAATTTAATAACGCGGACCGTTGTTAACGAGCGCCTCCGGTGACTGCTGCTGAGGCTGACTGACTTGTTGCACGCCGGTCTGATGTTGTGGGGACATTTCCACGCCCCGAAACGTGACGCTGAATGAAACGAACTGTAATTGGTTTTTGACATGTCGGTCAAACGGCCTTATGGGCGGGCCTTGGCCAAAGAAAGCTGCTATGAATTCCAGACCTTCAGCCGTCAGTCTGAAGGTCTGGCTACGCGAGACTAGTCTCTTACTGACTAGGCACTGACTAACGTCATTCAATAAACGACTCTCTGATTGGCTGAAACCTTCTTAACAAAAACAAAGGCAGAACACAGTATTATCTAATAGGCATTACTTGATAGAACGCCAACACAGTAACTTCATATTGACGCGCGGCTAAACAAAGGCAGAGTGCCGTAACTCAATATGAGCGTTCCATTACTGATGTTATGGTGTTCTGCCTTGGTTTCTCATGGACTTTTGGAAGTTACGGTTAATGCCGAGTTCAGACTGCATGATTTGCTTTTCACACCGCTGTTCTTTTCACACTGCATGACTATCTTGGCCAGCATTCAGTCACTGTGTTCACACTGGACGATTGATCGGTGACAGAAGGTTTCACACTGCATGACTTTACAATAGGAAAAATCGCCGACTGACTCGGTCTAGCACGCTGCGCGCAAACTACGTTTCACAACAAACACACGTGAGATGTGAAAATGAAACAACGCGACACCACACGTGCACGACCGGAGTTCTCACGTGAGACTTTTTTTTTTTCGAACCGGTTGTGGTACAGCTGGTGAAACGTCAAACAGACACGAGTGCTCCTGCCAAATTTCTACTAATTTTTCTTCCATTTATTGTGTCCAAATAGACCGAAAGAAGCTTTTTTCTGAAACAATGCCATCATGTTGATATGTGATCTATAACTCCTCCCCGAACTCCCTGCTGCTCTGTATCTTGCTCTCTCACTGGCTGCCGGTGATCGCCGATGTAATTTTCAGTCAAAACACTTTTCACACAGCAGGATTTTGAATCGCCGACAGGTCCAGATATTTAGCATGCCAAATATCTCACGGGCGTCGGTGATTCTCTCAGTTCGCGTCTTTGCTCATTCACACTGCGTGATTGTCACTCGCGTGAACGAGCGTCGATTTGCCTGTGAGTTCGGGCATTTGTCGGCGATTTCTCAAAACCTTTCGGCGAGGCAAAATCGTGGCTAAAATCATGCAGTCTGAACTCGGCATAAGACAACCCATTATTTTCTCGAAAAAACAACGGAATTGACTCAATATACTTATCCACATGATAAAGGAGGTCTTGAATATGACAAAAATATTCAACTCATTTTCGACCAAAAACAAAGTTACGGTCTTTTGCCTTTGCACGGCAGTGTTGCTTTCTGTTAATAAATGAGGGTTCAATTGATTCTAACTGTATTTCTGTGTATTTTAGACCAGGTGAGAGTGAAAGAACAAAGACAAGAACTGAATGAAGTGGAGGAGGAACATCATAACTTTACAATTCAAAGAACAAAAGCCAAAAAGACGCACACCTGCACTCAGTGTGGAAAGAGATTCACAGAGAAAGGAAACCTTCACATGCACATGAGAATTCACACTGGAGAGAAACCGTATACATGCACTCAGTGTGGAAAGAGTTGCACACGGAAAGTACACCTTAACACACACATGAAAATTCACATTAGAGATAAACCGTATACATGCACTCAGTGTGGAAAGAGTTTCAGAGAGAAAGGAAGCCTTAACACACACATGAGAAGTCACACTGGAGAGAAACCACATACATGCACTCAGTGTGGAAAGAGTTTCAGAGCGAAAGGAAGCCTTAACACACACATGAGAAGTCACACTGGAGAGAAACCACATACATGCACTCAGTGTGGAAAGAGTTTCACAGAGAAAGGAAGCCTTAAGATACACATGAGAATTCATACTGGAGAGAAACCGTATCCATGCACTCAGTGTGGAAAGAGATTCTCTCGACTATCAACTTTCAATCATCATCTGCTCATTCACTCTGGAGAAAAGCCATTTAACTGTGATCAGTGTGGTAAAGATTTTATTTCATCATTACAACTAAAAAAACACCTGAAAGTTCATTCAGACGTGAAGCCTCATGTGTGTTCTCTCTGTGGAAAGAGTTTTTCACGTCTTGACAGTTTTAAACTGCACCAGAAAACACACAATGAAGTGAGAGATTATATGTGCTTTGACTGTGGGAAGAGCTTTACTAGAGCTGAGCATTTGAAACTGCATGAACGAACTCATACTGGAGAAAAACCTTACAAGTGCTCATATTGTGACAAGAGTTTCACTCAGGGTGGAAACCTGAAATCACACGAGCGAATTCACACTGGAGAGAAGTCGTAGGACTGTACTCAGTGTGGAAAGAGTTTCAAACATTCAAGTAGTCTAGTGACTCATATTAGAAAGCATTGTCCTGTGTCAAAGTGAGCAAATTTTTTTTTGTTAGATTCACATAAAGTAAATGTGTAGTTAGTTAACTAATAAACGAGTGTTGCTGTGAATGCCACAAGATCTGTGTGTTTTTTGTTGGAGAACAAGATTATTGAAGATTGTTTTGATTGAGCGCTTGCTCAAAGAAATACCAAAATGAAAAGCGACTGGAAAGAAATGCAGAAAAACAATAACAATCGGTTATATGTTAATAAATGACAGGTGATCTGACCAATCATACTTCGCCATGCGCCATTTTGTCCAACAAAGCAGTCCGGAGAGTTAGTAGATTAACATCGGAGGATTTGAACTTAAAAAAACACAGAATGTACTGTCGCCTTTCCACAGTTAAAACGACATTCATTCTTGTGTTCATTCATATTTATTTTATGCTACAGTGAGTAGACAACCAGAATGCGGCTTTTAAAATTTGGGATGTATTTGCTACCTTTCGACGCTAGGAGGCGCTACAATCAGCGAATTTGAAAAGTGTCCGTCTTTTGTGTAATCTACAGCCAAGCCGCGGCTCATTCAGGGGTGCGTTTCCCGAAAACATCGTTAGCCAACTATGGTCGCAAGTTCCGTCGTTATCAGCATAGTTCAATGAGTCGGTGTTTCCCGAAACCATCGTTCCAACGAACATTCGCAAACAGCATCGCAAAGTTGTGTGGTTTGAACGACAGCTCTCGACCTGTGGTTGGAGGCATCGTTTTTGTATTGCAACACATTTTGAGGTAACAAATCCTTATCTTGAGCAAAATAAGCAAGCTGACATTCAGTACAACCGGTGCCTTTTATTTAGAATACATACAAATGTAATTTACGCCTTTTAGTTTCTCAAAAGATTTGAAGTAGGCTAAACAAGACCTGCCTCAGAACAGTGGAACACTGTCAAGCATGTTTTAAAATATTTAAAAGGGACCAAAGACAAAGAATTGTGTTACAAAAAGGGTGAAAATGATAACTTGATTCATGCATATTGTGATGCGAATTGGGCAACTGATGATGTAACCGATAGACGGAGCACTACAACTTACTGTGTTAGCCTAAATAAAAATGGTCCACTGGTTTCATGGAAGACCAAAAGACAGCCTACTGTTGAACTGTCGACTTGTGAAGAAGAGTATATGGCTTTAGCTGCAACTGCCGGAGTGTCTATTTCTACAGCAATTGTTAGAAAACATTGATGGTAAGAAATATGAATCGAGAGTGTATGAGGACAATCAGGGTGCCATTGCTTTAGCAAAAAATCCTGTGTAGACAACGATGTAAACATGTGGATGTTGAATTTCATTTTGTGAGATCTGTAATCAAGGGAGGCAGAATTAATCTGGAATACTGTCCAACTTATGATATGGTTGCGGATGTAACAAAACCAGCAACAAAGTTCAAGTTAATGAAATTTAACTCCTTTATGTTTGGTGTATGAATTTTGTATTTATATTGAAATGATGAACTGGAAATGATGAAATAGAAATGTGAGAGCAAGTGTGGGTGTTGAGATTTATAAAGATTGTGCTTTCATTTATATTTGATTTGTTTATTTTATTTTATTTTGGAACCAAGCAATCATATTGCAGAGTGTATGTCATGTGACCTAATTAGTGATTGAATGAATGCACATGTGTCTGTTTAAATAAACTGCGCCAGTCAGAAACAAACTGGTTGATGTGAAACAGTATCGCCTGTTGTTTGCCTAAGTTACTCTGCTAAAACCTACAAAGGTATAACCTGCTCACTGACTCCTACCATCTAATCGGACTTGGATACAAGTTTCTGTTAACTCTCTGTCTGTGACACAAGTTGCATGTGAGCGAAGCTTTTCCACGTTAAAATTCATCAAGAATCGATTAAGGAGCACAGCGTCACACAAGCATCTTGAAGCATTTATGTTGATGGCAATCGAAAAAGAGACTGTTTCTTTGGACACGGATTGCATCATTGAAAGGGTAGAGGAGAAGAGCGCGCTGATGCAGCGGCTGCTGAATAAGGTAGGTCATGCTTCTTTTTATCATACCCGTATTTTCCGCACTATAAGGCCAAAAATGCTCTAAAATAGGTCATTCGTTGAAGGTGGGTTTTATAATCCGGTGCGCTCCGGATTGTAAGACGCAATGGCGCCACCAGGGGGTGGCCAGGGGTGGCCATGGCCACCCCTGGCCGACTCCTGGCCACCCCATTGGCCACCCCAATGGCCAGTATTAATTTTTGTAGCATCAGTTATGCATTTTATAAATAAGTCAAAAATATTCTTAAGTGAAAGAAGACGGGGAATTATGTGTCGTGACGTGCTTTTTAAGTGCCAAATGGTATACAGCAGCTTTTAGGTGTGTTTTTGCCACGTTTGGACAGGCAGGGATGCAAACAGCGCGCTTTTCGGCGCCTCCCGCTTTTTTCACGTCAGTTTGGGTGACAAAGTCATCTGAAGTCATTCCATAGCTTAATGTGAGGGACAGAACTATATTTACATCATTAAAGTATAAACTCGTTTTCCCTCCTCTGCGACTGTCATCATTCTCCATTCATATTCAAACAGCACGCGCGCCTCTTGGATGCACGGTAAAACTCTCTCCAATATGATATATTCACATTATAAATGCATGATCTGTAGATAATAGTCTGTATATTCGCATAAAATTACTTTATTTTCTTGGAGTTTGTTGCTGTTTTTAAGCGACTCACTACCGTGTTCTGTTAGATCACACATACATATCACAAGGATTATGAATCGGCATCAAACGCACAATAACTGTGAAACAAAGGAACAAATCGCACTTGGATTTGTGCGCTCATTTTTCGATTTGTGACACGAGCTTTTAAATGCACACTTATGAAGCGCAGTGCTGCTGCACACTGTGACTCCATGTTGCTTTGAGCACATCATTCTGCACCCGCGATGTTTTTCATGTAATCATGCAAGAACGGGCTCAATCATGGGTTTGCGCACTGAAATATTATTAAAAGCCAATATATTTTGTTATACCTAGCCTGCTCAATACATTTTAAATAAGCATAATTTAATTGTATATAATTTATTTGTAGTTTAGGCTATGCACTTCTGAATTCTTGACATTAATATATAAATATAAAATTGTGACATGATTGCCTGATTGAATTTTAAAAGACAACTAATAGTAATTTGTTTTTATTAACATATTTAGATTTTATAAAATTACTGTGCAGATTTTTTCAAGAATTACTTTTTGCTGCTGATGTATACACTCATTAAGTTTATTAAAAATTCATAATACATTTATGTAATATTTAAAGGTGTTAACTGTAATCTTACACTGCAAACTAATAACTTAAAAATGATTAAATTCATCACAATTATGTAAGTATCTGGAAATTTGCTGTGGGGCAAGGACCCTTATATATCATATAATATATATCATTATATACAATGTAATATATATTAGTTGGGCCCTACTAATATCATTAGTAACATTAAATATTACACAATAAACCAAAGTATATCAGTAGGAGTTTCCTTAAGTCTTTCGGATAGTTTTCTACAGGCTGGTTTATTACAACAGTAGAAAACAATTCTGAAATTATGGTTTATACTGTAGTTTTGGTGTGCCACCCCAAGATTTTAACTGGCCCCATCTGGCCACCCCTACGAAAAATTTCTGGAGGCGCCACTGGTAAGACGCACTGTCGTTTTTTGAGGAAAATTAAAGGCTTTTAAGTGCGCCTTGTAGTGCGGAAAATACGGTATTCTATTGTGGTTTGGTCATGGTGCTATTTCTTTATTAAGCAGTTGTGCGTCGGGCCGCTGTGCCATGCTTGTGTGTGCGTGTGTTTTTGGCCGCTGTGCCATGCTCGTGTGTTTTTGGCCGCTGTGCCATGCTCATGTGTTTTTGGCCGCTGTGCCATGCTCGTGTGCGTGTGTTTTTGGCCGCTGTGCCATGCTCGTGTGTGCTGTGAGGGTCCGAAATAAACTTTTTGGCTCACCTGCTACGGGGACTGGAAGATGAAAAAATCCACCAGCAAGCATATTTTTTTACCAGCCAAAATAATAAACAGCCTTTTTGTGTCACATATACATTAATTAGAGGCTATTAAACATTTATGTCATTTATATTTCCCAGTCTTACGTTTAGGCCTATATGAAGAGTTCAGATGCAAAAGCCTCTAAATGCCATTTGAAATTTTCTTCTTTAATGATGATTTTGTCAAACTTGTATATTCAAGTTCAGTAATTTCACTTAAATAACAATTAATAGGTAATTACCATTGCCATTTAAGTGAAATCACTGAACTTAAATATACAAGCTTGACATAAATCATCATTAAAGAAGAAAATTTCAAATGGCATTCAGAGGTTTTTGCATCTGAACTCTTCATATACACATATAGGCTACATAATTTACACACATTAAAATAATATTTTTGTTGTGGCGCCTATTCAGTACAAATTAAATATATTAATTGTATATTAAATAAATTAAATGTAAATAAATAATAAAACATATGCAATATTAATAATAATATGCTATAAATATATTTTAAAAAAATAGTTTTGCTCTGCCTATTTTTTATTTTATTTTTTTTTTTACTCCATTTAGCCTGACTAATCCGATCACGATCAGTAATTGAAGGACTGGGAATATCCATAGACTGTAAAGGAAACGATTAATTTAAGCACTTTCAAAGGACCTTTCAATCGTCTCTGGTCGCGTAGAGGTTAAAAGTCCATACATTTCCTCACCCATAGACCCTCCCCTTGGAAAAAATCAGGACAGAAGGGGTTGAAAGTGGACAAAAGAGACACCAGCTGTAAACGAGAATGTTTTCCTATATAAACAGAACTGCTTTTGAAATTACGATTAGTATTATTATAGATGTAAAGATTTGTTCCTTCCTTTGTGTAATTGTGTTTTTTATATAAATATAAGCAAAAAAACTAAATGGTGTAAAAGTTTTAGAACTAGACAAATCTTTTTGCATTAATAGCCTATATAAAAAAATAACTACAGTAGGCCTAGTCCATGTGTTTGACCTGGCTTCGTACCAATGACATTATAATGTCCTAACCGTAAGTTCTACTCTCAATATCTCGATTCTCAACTCAAGTTTCTCAACTGCTCGAAGGTTTGCATCTCCAGTGAGTGTTCGCTGAAATGAGTGTTCGCCTTTTACAGTTGTAAAAGATGATTTTATTTTAGCTGTTATGAGAAAATAAATTCAAGTGAGCACCGCCGCGTTTGTCGAACTCTAATGCCAGAATAAAACCCGACTTTAGAATAGGCCTACACTTGGCGTTGTGTGTCAAAATACTCAATTATAAACTTAAATATTTCGTTCAAAACACTTTGTGACATTTTAAAAAGCCGTGAATCATAAAGGCGCTGCATGTTATCTCTCAATACAGGTCAGGAGCAGAAGCGCTGGTTCAGATTCTATTATTTTTTGTTTAAACGTGCGTGTTGCATATTTAAAAATATATATATATATACATATTTGATATTGTCTATTTAGGCCAATTATAACATTGATTACTGTGGAGGGGGAAATCCCCCACCGGCAAATGCTTAGCTTGGTTATGTTTTTATTATTATTATTATTATTCTACATGGAACCCCATTAAGTTTTATTTTCTATATATATATATATTTTTAACATAACTGCTTTTGAAGATGTAAATTCAGTCAATCTGTTGGAAGAGATTTGTTCCTTAGTGTAGGCTAAAATGTAACTTCATGCACTGGGCATGCAAAAAAACTGATAAAATTAAGGGAACTGTTTCATATATGTTACAACCCCTCTAAGATTTGTCTAGGAACAACATTAAAGAAACATAACACAAAACTGTGTTAATAATAAGAAGCGGCAAGAAACTATGAGCAAACACCGACCGTCAATGAGAAATGTAATTTATTATATACAAAAAAGGAAAAAGAAACCATCAAAAAAAAAAAATGCACAACAATATTGAGGCTGAAAGCCACCAACAAAATAGCCTACAATTTTACAATAAGCAAAACAAAACACTATTGAGAAAAAAAAACTACTAAAAGAAAAGGGGACTCTAGTGACGCCAAAAAAATAGAGAAAGAAACAAAAGAAAACAATTCTAAATCATTTCAAACCTCTTACCTAACTAATGAAAAGGAAAAATAAAAGAACCGTTTCTTCAGCGCCAAGGGCCGTATTCTTCCCTATCCTAAACTAACTAAACAAAACATACAATGTCACCTCTTACCTGGCTGGGGTTTCTAAACACAGAGTTATCTAAATGTTGCACAATGGAAGTCGTACAACATTCCTATCCCCATTAGAGCAAAGGTAAACAACAAAGAGCGCGAACTCTACACAGATCGGAAAACAAACGACGTCCAAAAACAAGAAGTTAATCAAACAAAGTAAGATTTAACTAAGAATTAACATACACAAACAAGGATAATCAAGTAACAAATCAAACGAGTCCCAAACGAAAACAGAAATCATAACGACGGCAGAACCGGAAACACAACGGAACTTCCTTCTCCAGCTTTCTTTAATCTGGCAGCGGGAACATTGCGGACAGCAGATAGGTCGACACATCCCTCATTGATGACCTGAACCAATCAGTGATCGAGGAAGGACGGCCTAAGAGAAAACAAACACGAAACTCCCAAAAAATACCTACAGACGTAACATATATTTAAAAATAACTGATTGTTGCTGTTTTTCTGCATTTGTTTCCAGTCTCTTTTCATTTTAGTATTTCTTTGAGTAAGCGTTCAATTAAAATACTTTTCAATAATATCCTTGTTCTCCAACATATGAAACACAAATCTTGTGGCATTCACAGCAACGCAAGTTTATTATGTAAATCTAACAAAACATTTGCTTACTGTGACGTAGAACAATACTTTCTAATATGAATCCCTAGATGACTTGATTGTTTGAAACTCTTATCACACTGAGTACAGGCGTACGGCTTTTCTCCAGTGTGAAGTCGCTCGTGTGATTTCAGGGATCCAGACTGATTGAAACTCTTGTCACAGTATGAGCACTTGTAAGGTTTTTCTCCAGTATGAATTCTTTGGTGCTGTTTCAGTTCACTAGATTTAGTAAAGCTCTTCCCACAGTCAGAGCACATATGCTCTCTCACTCCATTTTTTTCTCCAGAGTGACGGAGAAGATGATAACTGAAACCTGATGCTTGAGAAAAACTCTTTCCACACTGAGTGCATGTATACGGTTTCTCTCCAGTGTGAATTCTCATGTGCGTGTCAAGGGTTCCTTTCTTTGTGAAACTCTTCCCACACTGAGTACAGTCGTACGGCTTCTCTCCAGTGTGAACTCGCTCGTGTGATTTCAGAGATCCAGCCTGAGAGAAACTCTTGTCACAATGTGAGCACTTGTAAGGTTTTTCTCCAGTATGAATTCTTTGATGCAGTTTCAAATCACCAGATGTAATAAATCTCTTCCCACAGTCACAACACACATGATCTCTCACTCCATCATGTGTTTTCTGGTGCAGTTTAAAACCGTTCAGCCATGAAAAACTCTTTCCACAGAGAGAACACACATAAGGCTTCTCATCTGAATGAACTTTCAGGTGTTGGTTTAGATGTGCTGATGAAACAAAATCTTTACCACACTGATCACAGTTAAATTGTTTGTCTCCAGAGTGAATGAGCAGATGATAACTGAGAGTTGATGCTTGAGTAAAACTCTTTCCACACTGAGTGCATGTGTACGGTTTCTCTCCAGTGTGAATTCTCATGTGTGTGTTAAGGTTTCCTTCATGTGAGAATCTCTTTCCACAGTGAGTGCATTTATACGGTTTCTCTCCAGTATGAATTCTCATGTGTGTGTTCAAGTGTACTTTCTGAGTGAAACTCTTTCCACACTGAGTGCAGGTGTGCGTCTTTTTGGCTTTTGTTCTTTTAATTGTAAAGTTATGATGTTCCTCCTTCACTTCATTCAGTTCTTGTCTTTCCTCTTTCACTCTCACCTGGTCTAAAACACACAGAAATACAGTTAGAATCAGTTCAAGTGAATCATTATTTAATAGCAGAAAGCAACAGAGATCAGATCTTTCACTTGTTATTCTGTCATTCACTTGTTAACATAGTTAAAATTAGTTTGACAAATGCTACAAAGTTTGCAATCATTTAGATGCATTTCTCTAACATCCATATGGTTGTAAGTCACATCTACCAAAGCATCAACAATGAAGAATCAAGAATGGACACCAACCTGTTTGCCCCTTAGTATCTTCATGTTTTATTCTGGATGGTTCTGGATCACTCATGTCTTCAATCTCCTCTTTAATAAACTCCATCTTTAACAGTCACACAGATTTCAGCTGCTACTCCTGGAGTTTGTCCTTCTCTTGTAGGATGATGGGAATATTCCCAGTATTTATTGGTGAATTGTTGTGGGAGGGGCTTCACTGCAGGTGTGAACTGTGATCACTGTGTTTTTATCCAATCTGCATTTAAAAAGTACAGGGCCATCATGTTAAACTGAGCAGCTGAAAAACCTCTTTGTCTCCAAACAAAGTTTCCTGTTTTCAGCTCATTCATTATGGTGATGTCTGAGATGAGGCACTTTATTGGTGTTGACAGGCTGAAACAAACTACAGCATCATCAACTTTTACTTAAGTTCTTGTCTTTGCTCTTTCACTTCCATCAGGTCAGAAACAATAAAACACTAAATTGTTGGAATGAGTTCTGGAGGATGAATGTGAATTAATAATAATAAATAATATTAATAATTATAATTTATTAAATTTATATAGCGTTTTTCTCAGCACTCGAAGCGCTTCACATAGGAGAGGGGGGATCTCCTCATGTTGAGCATCCACCTGGATGATGTGATGGCAGCCATATTGCGCCAGAATGCCCACCACACACACACACCAGCTTACTGGTCGAGAGGAGACAGAGTGATGAAGCGAATTGGTATATATATATATACATGGGGATGATTAGAAGGCCATGATGGACAGAGGCCACTGGGCAAATTCGGCCAGGATGCCTAGGTTACACCCCTACTCTTTCGAAAGACATCCTGGGATTTTTTGTGACCACAGAGAGTCAGGGCCCCGGTTTAACGTCTCATCCGAAGGATGGTGATCTTTGATAGTATAGTGTCCCCATCATTATACTGGGGCATTAGGACCCACACAGACCACAGGCTGAGCACCCCCTGCTGGCCTCACTAACACCATCCAGGTACTAACCAGGCTCAGCCCTGCTAGCTTTAGTGGGCAACCACTCTTGGGCTACAGGGTGATATGGCTGCTGGCCATATTCTGGCCAAATTCTCAAGTGAACCTTGATTTAATAACAGAAAACAAGTGGAATCTGTGAGCTGAAATCTGTGATCATCAGAGATTAGTTTTGTCTAAGTATTAAATATTATTCATGTTTCTTTTTAATGAACATTATATTTATTTATGTCAATCTCTGTGCAATTAATGTGTATTTAGCCTGCCCCTGCCAACCAGCTCTCCCATAACCCAGTATTTTCAGGTTATATGACAATGTGTAAAACAATTAGCAAAAACTAATTTTGTTTAGACAGGACTAAGGTGAAACCAGAAAAAAATGTGTCAATTGTATGGGCGAAAATTGGACTATTATTTAAAATAAACTTTTTAATTATCCTTTTTTTTTTTTTTAATTACACTTTTTGAAATCGATTCTATTAAATGGCCAACTAAAATAATTATTTGGTCTAGCAAAGAAGGACTTTATCTTATTTAAACTCAAAATTTCACTTAACTGTAACGAGGCTTCAGCAAAGTGAGGATTCATCATTTGCAGCGTTATTGTTATTTTGGCTCGTGCAATCAGGGTCGATCACCAGCAAACACAACAGTAGAGACAAAGAAACTCGTAATATGAAAACAGGCATAAAGTCAGGCAGCAAACTTGCATAAATCAAACAGGCCAGACAGCAAAGAATCACGAAGAGAATAAACAGTACAAGAGTAATCCACGGAAAGACAAAACCACAGGAAGAAACGCTCAGAGATGTTCACCAGAGCAACACAAAACTTCCCGATGAGGAGATTTTCTTCATCTGTGTTTTTTATTGGCAGTTTCCAAACAAAGTGCATTACCGCCATCTTCTGGATTGAGGTGTGAACTCATTGGGAATTGTATGTCATTTATATATGTCACTAAATAAAATAAAAATAATAAAACCTAAATCCTGAGTTTCTTTCATAAAGATAATAACATCCTTAATTATAGATATGTGCCAGGCAAACTATTTTTAATTGTGTTACATGGCAACGTTTGTTACATTATTACTGTTCACCATACCAATTCCTTTAATTATGTAAATGACATTATATTGTGCTGCACCACCAGAACAAGACTGAAAGATTAAATTCTCAGGAAATCTTTGCAGGCGTTTTGAGTTGAATAGCTGATAGAGATCTTGTCAGATCGTATAAAAAATTCTTTGTTCTAAAATTCTAATACATTTTGAGATTACTTTACTGGAGATTTAGCTGCAATTATCATCAAGATTAAAACAATAAAAGGCTTGAATTATTTAACTTTTTTTGTAATGAATGTACAATATATTAAATATTTACTTTAGAAAGACACGAGAAAGTATTTCCTCCTGATGACAATTACAAGTCATGTTACAGATGCATCAATATCGTTAATAAGTAATTCCCCCCCTCATACTTTACTTTATAATTTTCTTTAGCAATATAATATTTCTCAGTCCTCAATTAGTCTGTTTTCTTTTCTTATCCCACTAATGTGCCGAGATTAGATTTTGCCCCCAAATCATCAAGGTGCGTTCACATTGGACGCGAATAGCGCGTCAGGCGCGAGTGATTTCAATGTTAAGTCAATGCAAAGACTCGCGCCCGTTTCAACACTTGTCCGCGCCGCGGTTCGTCTGACGATGCTTCTGAAACTCTCCGGCCGGTGAGTTTTAAAGTTTTCTGTATAAAAAACTTTGTTATGTCCATAATAATTTATGTAAGCTCGCTACGACACCAGTGAAACATACAAAAAGCCCGCGTACAGCAGCCAGCCCCTGATGACAACGACGATGAAATCTTCTTTAGTTTTTATTGGCAGTTGGCCGTCAAGCTGGGTGATGCGCGATGCGTTAGCTACCGTCCGCATCCACGCACGGCAGAGATTTTGTTTACATTTTTTTCCGCTCCAGTCAGAAAGACTGAGAGAAAATGAAAACAACTTAAATTTATTTTTAAAAACCTAAAAGATTCGGGGCTTTTGACAAAACATTCGGGGCTTAAGCCCAATTAGCCACCTCCGCTGTGCTATCAACACGCTGCTGACTTAACGTTACATTTACTGTAAATATAAATATATGACCTACCAGAACCCCATCCCTAAGCCTACCCATCACTGGGGTTAATAGCCTACCATTTATGAGTCTTCCCCTACTATCCTCGGAAAAAATATCGCTTGCTTCGTAGACTGTAAAACTGTAAAAACCATAGACTGTAAAAAAAGATGGACGACGCCCCTTCGCTCTTTTCCATCAGAGTGAACTGAAGCCGCCAGTGTCTCGATATGACGCTGACATCTTGGACTTGAGTCTGCGCGCACTTGAGTGTTTCGGGACCAGTCATGCGCAGTCGTGAGCAGGAAGTAAAGCCGCGAAATCAAGGCCGCGCCCTCATTCTCGCTGAATCAAACGCAAGCACACACCCCGCACTTTCATTAAGTGTCCTCTGTCTGCTTCGTTCTTCTTCAATGATGTCTGCTGATTGCAGAACCTCGTTAATATAAGGTAAATACAACTACTAACCACATAATCAACATTATTAAAAAAAAGTCCGCTGGTGCTTCAGTGGCTACCTCGAACAGAGAACCTGTCAATCACGATGTCAGCACCGTTATTTTATCATCACATAACTAACTAAAAACAAACTTATTTTAAAAACGAACACTTGAAATTACATCAAAGTGATAGAAACTACAGTAAATGACAGAAACTATCTTTGGAAAAAGGATATGTGAAGTGTAATTTAATTGTTTAATTGTAAATTGAATTGGGGGCGATCGAGACGTTTTGGCTTCACATTTGAGGGCTTGTGCGGCACGCTTGGTGTAGACATACACGCGGATAGCTCAAAGCGCATAACACGCCACTTAATTTGAACTTGGCGTGCATGTTTAGGCAAAAGTCATGATGTCATGTTGCATTGAAATAAAAGAATTCACAGTGTGTGGGGTGGGTGGGTTTTAAATCACATTATGAAATACTGTTTTTCTCAAACACATTGCATACTTTTTGGCAAAGAGAACACAGTGTAAACAAAAGTGAATCACATTTAATAAGAGTCCAATTAACTGAAAACGCTTAAAAGGTTGTTTGTTAATTACCTATAAAATAACTATAATTAATTTTCATTACATACAATACACATTGTGGGGCGTCATTTTTCTGCCTTTTTTCTTTAGACCAAAAGAGAAAAAGAAATTTCGGCTGACAATTTTCGGGTTTAATGACATAGTTAACAAATTTGCAGATGTTACAATTGGACAATTAATCAAATTCAGGATTTTTTTTTTTATATTTATGAATATATACCTGATTGTTGTTGTTTTTCTGCATTTCTCTTTTCATTTTGGTATTTAAGTAAGTGTTCAATTAAAATGATTTTCAATCATTTTCTTGTTCTCCAACATATAAAACACAAATCTTGTGGCGTTTCACTGCAACGTTAGTTTATTAGTTACCTACACATTTACTTTTGCTCACTGTGACACAGAAAAATGCTTTCTAATATGTTTCACTAGACTACTTGATTGGGTGAAACTCTTCTCACACTGAGTACAGGCGTACGGCTTCTCTCCAGTGTGAATTCGCTCATGTGATTTCAAGTTTCCAGAATGATTGAAACTCTTGTCACAATATGAACACTTGTGAGGTTTTTCTCCAGTATGAATTCGTTGGTGCCGTTTCAGATCACGAGATGTAGTAAAGCTCTTCCCACAGTATAAGCACACATAATCCCCCACTTCATTGTGTTTTTTCTGGTGCCGTTTAAAACTTTCCAGCCATGAAAAACTCTTTCCACAGAGAGAACACGCATAAGGCTTCTCATCTGAATGGACTTTCAGGTGTTGGTTTAGATTTGATGATGAAATAAAATCTTTACCACACTGATCACAGTTAAATGGCTTTTCTCCAGAGTGACGGAGCAGATGATGACGGAGAGCCGATGAATGAGTAAAACTCTCTCCACACTGAGTGCATGTATACGGTTTCTCTCCAGTGTGAATTCTAATGTGTCTGTAAAAGTTTCCTTTCTCTCTGAAACTCTTCCCACACTGAGGACAGGCGTACGGTTTCTCTCCAGTGTGAACTCGCTCGTGTTTTTTCAGGGATCCAGGCCGAGTGAAACTCTTGTCACAATATGAGCACTTGTAAGGTTTTTCTCCAGTATGAATTCTTTGGTGCCGTTTCAGATCAGCAGATGTAGTAAAGCTCTTCCCACAGTCACAACACATATAATCTCTCACTTCATTGTGTGTTTTCTGGTGCCGTTTAAAACAGAACAGACGTGTATAACTCTTTCCACAGAGAGAACACACATGAGGCTTCTCGTCTGAATGAACTTTCAGGTGTGATTTTAGATTTGATGATAAAATCAATTCTTTACCACACAGATCACAGTTAAATGTTTTTTCTCCAGAGTGACGGAGCAGATGACCACTGGAGTCATGAGTAAAACTCTTTCCACACTGAGTGCATGTATACGATTTCTCTCCAGTGTGAACTCTCATGTGTTTGTTAAGGTTTACTTTCTGTGTGAAACTCTTTTCACAGTGAGTGCATGCATATGGTTTCTCTCCAGTGTGAATTCTCATGTGCATGTTAAGGTTTCCTTTGTGTGAGAATCTCTTTCCACACTGAGTGCAGGTGTGCATCTTTTTGCCTTTTTTTCTTTGAATTGTAAAGTTATGATGTTCCTCCTTCACTTCATTCAGTTCTTGTCTTTCCTCTTTCACTCTCACCTGGTCTAAAACACACAGAAATACAGTTAGAATCAGTTCAAGTGAACCCTTATTTAATAGCAGAACACAACAGAGATCAGATCTTTCACTTTTTGTTCTGTCATTCATTGTTAATATAGTAAAAATATGTTTGACAACTGCTATATACAAGGTTATGTTATGGTCATTTAGATGTATATCATGTATCATCCATATACTGCTTATTAATTCACATCTACCAAAGCATCAACAATGAAGAATCAAGAATGGACACCAACCTGTTTGTTCCTCAGTATCTTCATGTTTTATTCTGGATGGTTCTGGATCAGTCATGTCTTCAATCTCCTCTTTAATAAACTCCATCTTTAACAGTCACACAGATTTCAGCTGCTACTCCTGGAGTTTGTCCTTCTCTTGTAGGATGATGGGAATATTCCCAGTATTTATTGGTGAATTGTTGTGGGAGGGGCTTCACTGCAGGTGTGAACTGTGATCACTGTGTTTTTATCCAATCTGCATTTAAAAAGTACAGGGCCATCATGTTAAACTGAGCAGCTAAACAGTTAAACAGTTCTCTGTTTTCAGCTCATTCATTATGTAGACGGTGGGCCGAACGCAGCTATCTGCTTTAGTTTTTGAGATGATAGATCCTTGAGGATAGAGTAGCTGCTTTTTTTCACATAAACTAAATTGTTTCCTGAACACGTATCCGTTTGTTGGCAGTATCAAGTCGATCATATTTTTTTGGAAACTAACTTCACGTTTAATAAATGGATTCGAATCGAAAGCTAATATCTTCTGACTATGTAATTATGTAGCTAATTATGTATTTCTCTCTAAAGGTGCATCCGGAGGTGGAGATATGTTTTTAGCCGAAACTGATTTAGAAAACAATAGTTTATTAATAAACAATTAAAATGCCTCGTTATTTTTTCAGACACATTTATTAGCCTATAAATACATCACCTTTCTGTAGGCTGTGGTTACGGCTCTTCTCATTCAGCACTGCGGAGAAAAGATAATTTCCGGGTTCTAGTTTGGCCCCAAAAAATCAGTAAAATCTATTGTTTTTTTTCATATTAATTTGTCAAATATTTTAAATGTTTAAAGGGGCAAAAAATCAAACAAATATAGACTATCTGAAAATTCGTCTATATATAGGCTATATATACTTTTGCGCAGCATTACAATTCAAATGAAAATTTTGGTGTTCAACTTTGCGTTTTAAAAATACAACCGTTCATTTTTAGTTTTGCAATTAGGCCTACGGATTAAATAAGCGGAAACGAATGAACACAAAAGTACACTGACCATTTGGACATAATACGAGGCAGAGTTCTTTTACAAATTCATAATAGAAACAAGAAATATCCTACTGCCACAATCAAGACCTCGGAGTAATGAGGGAGAAACACCCAGGAACTCTGTGTCTATCCCTGCCATTAATGCTTGGATAACACACCACGTCTCCTTCCATAAATAATAATAATGTCTACTAGTGCGGTGGCTGTGATATAGCCTACCAACGTCCGTTACCATTATTTTTTGAATGACTTATTGCGAAAGGAAAAAAAAAAAATGTTTTCGACATTATTACATCGTTAATGGAAACGCCGTCATTTCACAATATTTATTTATCGACATTTAGAATAACAAATCGCAAAAGTTGTGTGCAAATATACATTGACGCCACTTAACCGAGCAAAAAGATTTCACTCGGTTATGCAAATTTTAACGGTTAATCGGTTAACCATGGACACCCCTACTATAGTTTCCGGTATGACATTATGTGACTATAATGTCTGATAATTATTACACTTTGTAATACCCTCAATGTTCATATTATTTTACAGATTAAACAAATGTGCTTTTTATTAAACATTTCTTTATTTTGACTTCAAGGGGTTTGGACATCAAAATTGCACATCACGTCATTGGGCAATTCTGCGGTTTGTTTCCTAACTTCACTCGATCTCTCATCAACAGTCTCATATGTATGGATTTAATTTTAAAATAAATCTGCTACAAAGAACTGAGGATTTCTTCATGTTCGTGAATAGAGAGAGAGTTTAGCTCACTGTTTAGTTGGAGTTGTTACACCTCAGCAAGAACAGATTGTTACAATCAGGGTCGATCACCAGCAAAACACAACAATAGACAAAGCAACTCGTAATCTGAAAACAGGCATAAAGTCAGGCAGCAAACTTACATAAATCAGTCCACCGCAGAAATCAGTCCAGGACAGACAGCAAAGAATCACGAAGAGAGAATAAACAGTCCAAGAGTAAAAAACGCTCAGAGACAGAGCAACACAAAACTTCTTCTTCTTTAATGGCGATTAACTCCTAAGGAGCATTATCGCCTCCTACTGTGCTGGATGGCAAATTAACCTTGGGTGATAACTGATAAGTCTGAATTTGAAAAACTGTCAGCCTGTCTAACTAGGCCTGTTAGAAAGGCCGAGTCATGTGCGCATGCGCAACTTACTTTCAGTCATCAGTTCAGAGCGGGTCTGTACGAGCGGGACTGTACAAGCAAAGACTGTGTGTGCGAAGTGCGTCAATGAATAAATGTAAGTTGACTGTTCACCTAGTTTGTTTATCAATACTTGTTAAGGAGCTGTAAAGCCTTGATGTCTTACTTTCATAAAGTGATGCATGTTTAAGAGAGATGAATCCGTTAATCGCTTGAGGTTAAGGGCTCGTCAATGTGCCGCTTATGTTTGATATTACTTGTAATTTATAGTATTGAGATGATGACACCCAGTGTTTGATTGTGCATATGTATGTGTGATCGTTTACATTAGTGTATGAAACTCTTTATATTTCGAGTTTAAGGACGTGATCTTTATGATTATGTGACGTTCGTTTAAATTACCTCAGATTTGGTTTCGGTTTTGAATGTTATGCCATTTCTGACCGCTAAGTGGCGGTGTTGTATAATAATATCCTTGAGTATGTGTTTATTTCTTTATTTTACTCCAACTTTCACTTGAGAATGGCTTTATTTGAGAAATATGTATCTGTTTATGGAAACTATGTTTGTGTAATAATACTCAAGACATATTGTTAATATATATATATCTTTATTTTTCCTTTGTAGACCACACACGTACGCACAAAATACCAGTAATAAGTAAAGCCTGTGTATTGCTGTGTTGTGTACAGCCAAAGACTGTTAACAAATAAACCTTCTTTGCATGGAACTGATCTGATTCCAGTGTGTTCTGACCGACACCCCATTAAAGAAAGTTAGATCTGAACCATCACCTTATACAGTCCACTTTTTCCAATCCTCCTATCGAACAAGGCCTATATCATCACACATAAATATCATCATTATTTATCATACCTGCAACAGAGGTTTCATTGAGCTTCATCCGGCGATGCGTGTTCAGCTCCTCCGTCCACACTCATCCCCCATGGCGGGTTCAACGTTACACAAATATTACTATCTAAATCCCAAACCTGAATCATATATTTAAACATAAATAATGCTCTATATATCTGTCTGTCCATTAAACCGTTTCCTAGAATATCCTCATTCTTCATTCTATCCTCTCCATTCTTCAAATGAATAACACATCCCGAAAAATATTATACTTACTACAAATAATTACATACATTTTCAGATACACCACATACATCACATAATCCATTCTCATGTAACCCCATAATTGCCGGTGTTGAGTTTAACCCTGTATGTGCCAATCTTAACCTAAACAGCAATACCTCTTCTTTCCTATTTCTTATCCTCCTACTGTCTGTGTGATACTATGACACCATCTCCCTTTGCTACTACTATCCCATCTAATTTGCCACTTATTCATTAACTTCCTCTTTAAAATCGCCTCCTTTTCCCCCATAGGTATGTAAAGTTTTGCCATGCTGACCTTTTTATACTTTTAATAATCTTTTTAACATGAGCCCTTTTTCTTTGATAATCTATGACTGCTTCTGGTGTGAGTGTTGTTTTTAACAACTGAAATGCTTTTTGTATTTCTCTGGCACTCCATGGCATATTCTCTCTTGTTTTTATACCACTTGATAGTGGGATAGACTGAGAAGCTGCTAAATAAATGCCATTCACTACTTTATTATATCTGTAATCAACACTACCCTCTACTGAGAGATCTTTGAACTGTTCTTCACATAACATTTGAAGTTTCCCCCAATCTGCTTTCTTATATATCCATCTTACACCATAATTACATGCTTGTAGTTGACAAACATGTATAACAGACAGAGGGTTAGTTGTAACACTTGTGTGTAACACACATAATTCAGTACTATTTTATTTGATATTGTTTTGTGCATCTGTAGATATCCATCCATCCCTCATCAAATCATCCTTCTTTTATGGATCAATATCATGGATGGACACATCCATATGCAATAAATAATAATAAATAAAATCATAAAATATTGTAATTGCAATTGAATTAGATTTATGTGTGGCAGCTGCATGTAAAAAATATTAACAGTAAGAACAATACAAAATGAGCTTAAAATCAAAATTTAAAGGGTTTTATTGCAATAAAAACAGGACATATTTTTAATAAATAAACAAGTGATCAATGCATAGTAAACTCAAATTTAAACATTTTAAATTCCAATATTGTTTGTGAAAGTCCAACAAAGTTAAATGTATAAATAAATACTCAAACCTGAAAAGTTGTGTCTCCCTGTTTTCATTTGATTATCATTGTACTCTTGTCGGCTTGTTTGTACTGTGCTACAACTAACCCCGCTGTGTAAAACACATTTTAAGCCAATAGCTAACAGTTGAATTGCTGACATGTTTCAAAACGGTGCTATTTTTGAGCACCAAGACAGTGATTAAGGCAATATGAAGTTAGATTTGGAAACTTCATAAATGTCTTCATTTCTCTTCCTGATGTGTCCTGCCACATTTTATTTATAGTATCTTTAATGATAAGTTTAATTTCTAATTTGCTAAATGTATCTTGTATATTTATATTCTCTGCCTTCAGGGCTTCTTTTGCTAACGTATCCACAATACCCACATGCGCTGGAACCCAAACTGGACATTTCGTTGTTGTTGAGTTAATCTAAAAATGAATTGATTTATTTCATTTAAAATATCTTGCTTGTATAGATTTCCACTCTAAATACTTGATAGCGAGGACATGGAATCTGATCAGACTATCATATACGGTTTAACTTCAATCAATGTTAATTATTTTCCTGTTAAATAAAAGGAAATTGCTGGCATCCGGGTTACCATTATTATCCCGTTATTTTAACAGTTTATTCCTTTTAATGTTTTTTTTTTTTTTACAGTGCACTCCCCGTAATGTTTTTCAACAGGAATTTACAGTGAAACAGAAAAAAAAAACAGGAGCGTTACCATTATTTTCCTGTTAAATCACCATTTATTTTGTTTCCATTAAATTTTAATTATTTTTCGCGTGTACCACAGATTGTTATAGACATATTCTATCTCGAATTAATACAAGAATAGGCATAATCCATCAGATAACACTTAAGTGAAAGAAAACAAGTAGTTCCGTGTTGTAATTAACTTTTTTATTGTAATACAAACACTGAAAGTTAAATACTTACAAATGTAGGCACACATGGATCAGACCAATCACAGAAATATACTATATATCATGTTCTGCTGTCGCTGGAGTCCTATGTAGTTTTTCATGTTGCTTAGTCTCCCCAGGTGAGTCTTGTTTCCTCGTCGTTCAGCTTGTTTGTCCTGGTGTATTTATAGCCCTTGTGTTTCACTTGTTACTTTGTCAGTTGTTGTACATGTATGGTTGCTTCTAGTTCAGTCCTTCTCGTGGTTTTATTTCTTTGTCCTTGGATTTCTTTATTATTTATTCTGTGTTATTTCATTAAAAATACTGATAGATCCTCGCACACTGAGATGAGAGAGGTATGCATCAACTTGTTTTAGTTAAGGGAATAAAATAGTTTAATGTGGAAAACCGGTGGAGTATCCCTTTAATGATATAGTTAATAAATTTGCAAACGTTACAATTAAAAAATGAATCAAATTCAGGGATTTTTTTTATTAATAAACATATCTGATTGTTGTTGTTTTTCAGCGGTTCTTTCCAGTCTCTTTTCATTTTATTTTCTTCAATAATATTCTTGTTCTCCAACATATAAAACACAAATCTTGTGGCACTCACAGCAACACTAGTTTATTAGTTAACAAAACATTTGCTCACTGTGACACAGAACAATGCTTTCTACTATGATACACTAGACTACTTGAATGTTTGAAACTCTTCCCACACTGAGTACAGGCGTACGGCTTCTCTCCAGTGTGAACTCGCTCGTGTTCTTTCAGGGATCCAGACCGACTGAAACTCTTGTTACAATATGAGCACTTGTAAGGTTTTTCTCCAGTATGAATTCTTTGGTGCCGATTCAGATCAACAGATGTAGTAAAGCTCTTCCCACAGTCAAAGCACATATAATCTCTCACTCTATTGTGTGTTTTCTGGTGCCGTTTAAAACTTTCCAGCCATGAAAAACTCTTTCCACAGAGAGAACACACATAAGGCTTCTCATCTGAATGAACTTTCAGGTGTTGTTTTAGTTGTGATGATGAAATAAAATCTTTACCACACTGATCACAGTTGAATGGCTTTTCTCCAGAATGAATGCGCAGATGATAACTGAGACCTGATGCTTGAGAAAAACTCTTTCCACACTGAGTGCATGTAAACGGTTTCTCTCCAGTGTGAATTCTCATGTGTTTGTTAAGGTGTCCTGTCTCTGAGAAACTCTTCCCACACTGAGTACAGTCGTACGGCTTCTCTCCAGTATGAACTCGCTCGTGTGATTTCAGGTTTCCAGACCGATTGAAACTCTTGTCACAGTATGAGCACTTGTAAGGTTTTTCTCCAGTATGAGTTCTTTGGTGCCGTTTCAGATTCTCAGCTGTATTAAAACTCTTCCCACAGTCACAGCACACATAATCTCTCACTTCATTGTGTGTTTTCTGGTGCTGTTTAAAACTTTTCAGCCGTGAAAAACTCTTTCCACACTGAGTGCAGGTGTGCGTCTTTTTGGCTTTTGTTCTTTGAATTGTAAAGTTACGATGTTCCTCCTCCACTTCATTCAGTTCTTGTCTTTTCTCTTTCACTCTCACCTGGTCTAAAACACACAGAAATACAGTTAGAATCAGTTCAAGTGAACCCTTATTTAATAGCAGAACACAACAGAGATCAGATCTTTCACTTTTTGTTCTGTCATTCATTGTTAATATAGTAAAAATATGTTTGACAACTGCTATATACAAGGTTATGTTATGGTCATTTAGATGTATATCATGTATCATCCATATACTGCTTATTAATTCACATCTACCAAAGCATCAACAATGAAGAATCAAGAATGGACACCAACCTGTTTGTTCCTCAGTATCTTCATGTTTTATTCTGGATGGTTCTGGCTCAGTCATGTCTTTGAAGTGGTTTCTGTCTTTTTTAAATAACTTCACAGAGATCTCTAATGCCAGAAATATTAGACTTTATTCACAAACAAAGCCGAGCAACTTCTGCAGCATAGTTGCTCTAACGCTCTGGCCTGCTGGCCCTCCGGCCCTATTGCGCTCTCGAGTCTTTTGTGTTCAGAGTTATATACATACATCCTCTTCCATAGAAGGTCAGACACCCTATAGATAGTTTTAAAAATACATTGTACCATGTGACATACTGAAATAGTATTCTGGTGTATCAGCATTGGGCTTCTAAATGTCAGACCCAAAGTTTCAGGAACTAAATGTGGTTTCTTATATAGCTAAGTTACTTGTTTTCTAAATAATAAAATCTTCTACATCTTCAATCTCCTCTTTAATAAACTCCATCTTTAACAGTCACACAGATTTCAGCTGCTACTCCTGGAGTTTGTCCTTCTCTTGTAGGATGATGGGAATATTCCCAGTATTTATTGGTGAGTTGTTGTGGGAGGCGGCGTGCGTTCACTGCAGGCGTGAACTGTGATCACTGTGTTTTTATCCAATCTGCGTTTAAAAAGTACAGGAACATCATGTTAAACTGAGCAGCTAAACAGTTAAACAGTTCTCTATTTTCAGCTCATTCATTAGACGGTGGGCCGAACGCAGCTATCTGCTTTAGTTTTTGAGATGATAGATCCTTGAGGATAGAGTAGCTGCTTTTTTCACATAAACTAAATTTTTTCCTGAACACGTATCCGTTTGTTGGCAGTATTAAGTCAATCATATTTTTTTGGAAACTAAATTCACGTTTAATAAATGGATTAGGCAAACTCGACGGAGTTCTATACCTCTAACCAATCAAACGAATTCTATCGTCACATGACTAACATCTGCCAATAGACGAATCCGACGAGCGTTCTTGTGTAGGCTGCCATCTTGTGGCGACGCCATTACTGAGCTGTTACACCGGCATAGACATATGCACCGGGATGTAAACAAACCTCGGAGATAAGGTGATAACGCACCCTTGATGACAGCTACAGCCAGGCAGACTTGTTGGGTTGATGATGTTAGACATTGGCCTCCAGTCACAGATGAAGGTACAAACGATCTTACAGATTATTTATGAAAATAGCTTGGCAAGTAAGCTAGGCTAACGTTTGCTACCGAGGAAACTAAAAAAAGATCTGTCCATTTGGCAACAATAAATAAATAAATGAAATCAAATAAACAAATTCATGTTTTTCATTTGTGTCCATTATTTATCTAATTTTCACATTGCAACGGGCATGGGTAAGGTAACGTTACAGCTAGAAAGTATACACAATATTGACCAACTACTGTTTTTAAACCATGGAAAGAGGTCAATATAACAGCAGGAGAACAATTATGTCACATAACGTTATATTTAGCTCAGGAAAGCCATTTAATGACCATAGCATGTAAATTGAATAGAAAAAAATAACAAGAGAGGAGATTTTGCTGATCACTATATCACACATTTATTATATTTTTTTACTTATGTCATTAAATAATTGTTATTATACGCGAATGTCCGCGTCTTGTACTCGCCCAGGAAATCTGTGTTTACCGTACGGCACCAGACAGGGGCAGTCGACCCGGGGTATTCACAATGTTTTCTCTTCAAAATTGAAATTTTACTGCCACCATTGAAACAATTTATAACGGAAACTGTTTACCCACTCGACATTATACAAGGGCTAACGTTGTAACGTTAGTGACAGTCGTAAATCTCGAGCTGTTTATTCCAGTGGACGCAAGTTGCAACTAAAACAATAGAAGGCAATGGCGCAACGCTACCCAGCAACAGCTCAGTAATGGCGCCCGCTTACTTCCGGTAGTTTCGCCGGATTCGTCTATAGTATGTCAAAATATATTACCACGACTGTAACTTTACTAACTTAGCACATGCGTTCTCTAGCTAGCCAGCCACAGCCAT